TCATTAATTAAGTTTTTTACAGCATTTGAACGATTAAAAATCTGAGGTTCTTTTTCTAAAACCTATTAGAAACAAACCAATTAGATAAAATATGATATGGAAAAAACAAAATCGTATCTTAGAATAATTGTAAATTTACCGATTTAATATTTGCTTTATTATGTAATATAGATTCACAAGAATCCCATATAGTTGACCACCGTGTCTTAGTTGTTAACTTTAGATTTCCACCAGCAGTAGAGGAAAATATAATTTCTTCTCTAAGGGTGGCACCCGCAGAATAAGAGTTCCTAAAGAAACTTATTATTATTTGGCAGTTAAAAAGAACTTTTTTCATATAGGGTAAATTACAAATACTGCTAGATATTAATTGAATGTGATGTGCAATGCATCTTATTGACAAGACATGTGGATATTTCGTCGTGACCTGATATTTAGCCGCTACCATTGATGATTCTGCGTTTGAGATTATTGCTGTAAATTTTTCGGGCCCAACATTTTCTAATACTTCTATCATTTTCTCAGAATTAAAACTTGCAGTATGGAAAAACTTTGAAAAATCTTGTAATGAATATATATATTGTTTTCTTTCATTTGTAATTATAACAAAAGCATATATGCTTTGCTTTAATAGGCTACTCCAACCATCTACACATAAAGTAATATTTTTAGCCTTAAAAAGTTCTTTTTCTACCTTCAGTAAGATATTTGCCGCTTCTGCATCTAAGATTGATGTTGCTAATGTAGTGCGCTTAGGTGAATTATATCCTGGATTCAACATCTTGATAAAATCTTCAAAATAGGGAGAATCAAAGGCCGAAAATAAAATACCCGAATACACAATCCATTTAATTAGAGATTTATTAGCCTTCGTTTCTTTATCTTTGTCAATTGCTTCTTTTGCATCAAAATATGCATCTATATATAATGTAGAGTTTTGTTTTCTTTTTTTTAAGGTTACTGATTGAGATCCAGATGGTGTTGGGTTGTCCTCATTTTGAAGATCATGTAGTACTTTCAATTAAATCTTTTTTAGCACTCTACCTTTACACTTCATAGCGAGGTGGGTTCTCATATCCTGGGCCCTTCCTCGAGTCCATAATGCAGGACAATACTTGCATTTTGCACCTTTGTGTTTCCCTCTTCCATGAATAATTATATCATATTCGTCCCATATATTTGTTAGAGGTCAACCCCCAACATTTGATAATGGTGTTATATCTATTTATACAGACTCTGTTTTACTAATTAACAAAGAATCATTCGAAATTGTATCACCATCCATATCTTCGATATGTTCTATTTTGGTAAGTGTTAAAGAAAAAGTTATGGTACTTGTTAAAAAAAGAAAAGAAAAAAAAAACTCTAGCAATTATTAAAAACAAACTTTGGCCCAGGTTTAAAAAAAAACTCTGAAAAGTATAAAAAAAAAAAAAAAAAACAAAAAGTGTAAAAAAAAAAAAAAAAAACTCCAGCAAAGTACTAATAAAAAAAGGGAGAACTTTGATATTGTTAATTTTTATCCTTTTTAAATGGATAATTATAATGAAATTTTAAAAAACTTAGCAGAAGTCAAAAGAAAAGTAAAATGACTTCAGCAAGTGTTAAAAAAAGAGTCTTGTGTTGAAAAAAAAACTCTGGTATAGTTAATTTATCATAAAGGGATATTTATCGTTTATTTAAAAATAAAAAGGCAAGTGCTTC